TTGGTAGGTTTCCGTGCTTTGTAACAAGTTGAATGTTGTGCTGCATGGTACCCTTGTGGCATGCTGATGCCAAGAGCAATGGCTCTTGGCACGTGCCCCCCCCCCCCCCCCCCCATTTCGACCTAGGTTCAATATGCACATAGTGACTGTGAATGACATGCACCGGCCGTCCTACACATATGCGGCCGGGCAACCCCACCCCACCCCCTGCCCGTAAAAGGGGGACCAGCTACGCTCCTTGATAGGGCATATCCCGTGGTCACCAGAGTGAAGCGTCATCCAGTGCATCTGACCACACACGTTTATGTTGCTCTCTACCTCCTCTATCTTGCGTACAGTCCTGCTCAGCTCCGGCATGTTCGGCGTCCAGAGCCAAGCCAAAGCCGAGATTGCCGAACGTATGATGACGACGACGACAACGTCGAGTCCATTTCCGGACGCCGGCGAAAAGATGGAACTGCTGAAGAAGCTGCTCGATGGGGACACGGGAAAATCCCCTCCTGAGGGAAGCAATGAACCACCATCACGGGAAACATTCGCAGCCAAAGTCAACATCATCGAGGAAAAGGGTCCACCAAGTTCACTGACTGCCAGCAAAGGTGAACAGATATCGGCGCTGTACCTGAAAAATCGACTAGATCTCACGCTCCTGGACAAGGACGGGCCGAACGGAAAGGGCACGGATGATAAACTCATCCCCGTTCAGCCGCAGAACGCTGAAGACAAGAATGTGCATTTGAAGATTGTGTCGGAGACGTCAAAACCGCCAATGCCACACTACCCGATGCCACTACCTTCGCAGGCGTCCGGCAGCAACATAGGCTTCGAGTCCAGCGCCGTGGACACCATCCTTGAAGGACTTCACTCGGACAAGAACAAACAGCCAGTGGCTGCGATCAAGGCCGAAAATACGAAGACCAGTGAGCACATGCCCGAAGCCAGTGAGATTGGATTTCGTCGACCAAGCGGCATCTCCCCAGCTCGCATTTCCAGCGCGTTCATTTCAATCTCGGTGCACGACGATTGCCTTGAGCTGGCATGTCCGTACACGGGCCAGCCAAGTGCGCAGTTGCTATGGTTCCTCAACGACCGGCGAGTGCACTCATCTCGTCGCGGCGTGTCCGTGAAGGGCGACACGCTGACGATATGCGAGCGCTCGCGCCTGCGTGGCTCGGCCGACGTCATATGCCGCGTACAGAACGTGCTCGGGGTGGACACTCGCCAGGCCATCGTTGACCTGAGTGGTAAGAAACGAGTGCTTCTGCTAGGTCTCCACTCCTCTCTCTCTCTCTCTCTTCTCTCGTTTGTGCCTACGAGTTGTGACAGGAATGTGCACGAGCATGTTTCAGCCAGTGCTCTCCGGAACTAGAGATCCACGTTGGCTGGGTTACACCTTTCAAACTAATCACAATGCGCGCTATCATAGTGTGTTGTGCATGATAGGAAGCACCCGAACGTACATGTATTCTATGCCCCAGGTTTATATACCGTGGTATATTATGCCCCAGGTACAGAATACCCCAGGTACAGAACACCCCAGGTACAGAATACCCCAGGTACAGAACACCCCAGGTACAGAACACCCCAGGTACAGAACACCCCAGGTACAGAACACCCCAGGTACAGAACACCCCAGGTACAGAACACCCCAGGTACAGAACACCCCAGGTACAGAACATCCCAGGTACAGAACACCCCAGGTACAGACACCCCAGGTACAGAACACCCCAGGTACAGAACATCCCAGGTACAGAACACCCCAGGTACAGAACTGTAACACCCGAGGTACAGAACACCCCAGGTACAGAACACCCCAGATACAGAACACCCCAGGTACAGAACACCCCAGGTACAGAACACCCCAGGTACAGAACATCCCAGGTACAGAACACCCCAGGTACAGAACACCCCAGGTACAGAACACCCCAGGTACAGAACACCCCAGGTACAGAACACCCCAGGTACAGAACACCCCAGGTGCAGAATACCCCAGGTGCATTATATCCCAGGTGTGTATACCCCGGGTACGTTTTTTCTATTGACTTTTAACGTAGCAGGACTGGCAGCAGCAGTTACTGTTTAATTTTAATTTTATTCACCGTCCAATGGCAGAAGCCAATGCAAAGGAGGGGACGTTAGCCAGCCATGGCAAGAGAAGGAAAAAGAAAGAAAAAAGGAAAGAACATAATAATCGGAAGAAGTTGGATCTGGGCCCCATACCATGGCTTGCTGTACTTTCCGTGCGTGATATAGCAGACAAGGTATGATCTTACTCCGCATTACCCACAAACACTGGTGGTCAAACGTGTTCATCCAGCTATGGTCTGACCTACCGGAATGATTCCGCTGGACTTGCAGCGCACTACTACCTACATGTACAGTCCACTGAGGATATAACGACAATTCGCTAATAGCGACAGAATTTCCATGCCCAGAGCAAAGTCCCATCTAACTGTAATACATGTCATGAGACTTCGGGTATAAGGACACTTTTCTGATGCCCCGCCGAGTGTCGTTATATCTCTCTCTCTCAGCACATGTAGGATTGTTCATTCTCTCTGTGCTATGCTCTGTAGTGATCCTGAAGCCTGAACCACCAATCACTACACCACCACCACCACCACCACCACCATCACGAGGGGAACCCCCTAAAATCACGGGTCCCCTGATCGTGCGCACAAAGAACTCGTCGTGCATAAGCATCCAGTGCCCCGCCCGCAGCCAGCACAGCCTGCAGATACAGTGGACCTATCACATGGAGAGCATCACGCAGGGGAAATCCCCCACCGGGCTCGAGGTCGACAAGGACGGCGACCTGGTGGCGTGCCTGGCACAGGATCGCCTTGGCAACCGGGACGTGCTCTGCCGCGCTAGCAACGAGTTTGGCTTCGTTGTGCAGGTGCAGAAAGTCAACATGCTAGGTAAGATATACACAGGGACAGACAAAAGCAGACTTCACTCTATTGAAATTTGTTAGAGCTCTGAGACCGGTTGCCAAGGCAAATGCCAAGGCAAACAGTCTTTGCGCATCTCTCTATCCGTTGTGAAAGCAGATTTCTTCAATTAACACCGTATTCTTACGTTCCTTGCCATCTGTCTTTCTGTCAGGGAAGCTGTCATTGTTTCATTGTTTGCCATGTTTTCTTTCTTACTGAACTTCTTACAGAGCAGCGTTGTTTAGTTCACCATCTGTCATTCTGACGGGCCAGCTTTGATTGTTTGCCGTGTGTCTTTCTCGTTGAGCAGCTTTCTTGAAGGCACTGATTACAGAGATGCCACGGCCCACTGTTCCCGCCGCCACGAAATCACCGCAGCCCGAATCCACAACAGCCATGCCGAGCACGGAGGTCACGTTGCCTGGCAACGGCAGAGTGCTCCCGCCGCGTATCCTTGACGCAACCCAGCCGGTGCTGGTGCAGAACGGATGCATACTGGTGTTGTGCGTGGCGTACGGCACACCACTGCCCAAGGTGAGAGAGAGGGGTTAGCTCATAATACAGTAAAACATGTGTTTGCCAGACCCCGTAGGCCTGTACCAAGCTGTGTGTCCCATATGGTGCAGTGGTATGTGCAGCGATTTCCAATCGATAGATTGCGGGTTCGATTCCCGACGATTATGGTCACACACGTCTTTCTTCTCTTTCTCAGACTCTTCCTGACTTTTCTTTCATTCTCCTGGGTGGTTACCAACAGCCAGTGCATGCCGGAGTATGTGGTGTGATGTGTGTGCGGGGAAAAAAAAAAAAAAAACAGAAAAGAAAAAGACCAAAAAAGGGATTCACTGGCCAGAAAATGTCACTCCAAATAGCTGTATGGTGTAGACCAGGCTGAATAGTGACGGTCAATTCTTCAGCCTTGCAAGCTGTTGAATGGTGTAATCCCAGCACAAGTTGCTATGGCTTCTGCCGTAGCATTGCTATCATCGCCTCCGGCGATGGGCGTCAAAGGTCAAGGTACCAAGCAGAATCCTGTATTGACCGGACACATTTTCATGCACCAAAGTGCTGTGGGTGGAACGTGCATCCCTGGGTCAAGCCAGATCCTGTCATATCAGGCCGGTTTTCGCTTCACCGGGGAAATCCGGTTAGAGCAGGTATTACTGTACCAGTCGATCTACATCTTGGGAGGAATATTCAGGGCCGCATCCACGGATGCATTGCAGAATTTGTATGGACGACGTGCCCACACTCGCATACAGCACTGGCCAAAGTGGGATCTTGTGCATACCGTTCGTAAAAAGCTATGATTGCATAATGAAGTTGAAGACACCACTGCAGCTGTACTTATGGTTAATAAATATGGTGTGTGGGCAGGCGTGTGTTTACCGCCATATTGCCAGGCGTGCCTTTACCACCATATTTATCAACGATGATTGCAAAGCATGAAAAAAAAAAACTCCGGCGCGGACCGGAGTTGCAATAAACTAGCCTTGAACCTTGCTGTGTCTGTGCAGTGCAGTCTGTCTTTGCAGTGGTGTTGAGTGCATGTCTGATCAGTCTGTCTTTGCAGTGGTGTTGAGTGTATGTCTGATGCACTGCATATGCCTTATTCATGGCTCACACATGACGGGTTTACGTGGCTCTAGTAAAAAAAAAATTAAAAAAAAATGCAGCTCCTCTCATACTACAGTAAAACCTGTAGCTAAGGACCACAGAGACTAGCGACCCGTTTGGTACTACAGACCACTTCGCCAGGCACGGACGATCTCACGTTCATATTATGGTCGTGCGGTGCAAAAAGGATCACCTGCCAATAAAGACCGCTTTCTCTAGCCTAAGGGGTGGTCGTTAGTCACAGGTTTTACTGCAGTATGAGAGGAGCATATGCAAGGCATCAAACATACGGAGTATCCTTTGTTACCGGAGGATGCAGCCGCTGAGCTGTGTGCTGAGAGTACTCAATACCGCTGCGCAGAAAGAGCATATTACACAGACACAACAGGGCGCAAATCGACAACCTTCCAACTTTGAAGGCTCTAAGACTAAGTAATGAAATATCGTAAGAAAGTGACTCACCGGTGTCTGTTTTATTGCTTGTATAATATGTTTCTGGCCATGCGTACCACAGCTGGTGTGGAGTTTCAACGGCCGCACCATCATGCCGCGACAGCCACGCGAAAGTGACTTCCAAATCCGAACGGACGGATCTCTCCAGGTGAGTTGTAGAGGCGCGTGTTGCGTGCGTAAGTCCGCGGTAAGCATGGTTCTTGCTCCTTGCATCCTCAGAATTTGCCTGCCGTGGAAAGTGTGCATGTAATAGCTCTTAGCTCACTGCAAAGTGACATTGCTTGGGCATGCCAATTTGCATGATTATGAACTTCAAAGAGCAAGTAGGGTGCTGTAATGAGAGTGCTGAAAGCACTCAAACGTTTACAGTCAACTTCACTAATAACGACTGCGGATATAACGACATATGAACTTTCAAGAGCAAGTAGGGTGCTGTAATGAGAGTGCTGAAAGCACTCAAACGTTTACAGTCAACTTCACTAATAACGACTGCGGATATAGAACGACAATTCACGAATAACGACAGAATGTCCATGCCCTGAGCAAAGTCCCATCTAACTATAATACATAATATAATGAGACTTCGGGTATAAGGACACTTTTCTGATGCCCGCCGAGTGTCGTAATACGCAAATTGACTGTACTTATCCAGAATACTATAAAGTTTGTACTGTACACTCGCTTATACTCCCTCCTTGCCGGCACACTAGTCCTCCATTCTCGTCCGGAAGGGCATCGTCAGGGAAACGTCAACCTTGCGAATATAGACCCTCGATCGCCCATAAGAGTGAAGTGAAGATTCATCAATCAGTACACATGCAATGTGCTGTGTTCTTGCTAAGGTCTGTAACCTGGATGCTGGAAAACACAGTGGGCAGTACAAGTGTACAGCTAGCAATCAGGCTGGTATCGCCGCCAGCAATAACTATATCAATGTGCAAAGTAAGTCCTGTATCCTAGTTGACCTGGCTGCCCGGCCGTTTAGTCTCCTGAATGCCATTTTGCTGTATTGGAGCGCTGCAGGTGTGTGCGTGTGTGTGTGTGTGTGTGTGTACACGCGTGTGTGTGTGTGTGTGTGTGTGTGTGTGTGTGTGTGCGCGTGCGTGTGTGTGTGTGTGTGTACACGCGCGTGTGTGTGCGTGCGTGCGTGGGCATGTGTGTAGGGAGGGTGGGTTGGAGGAAGGGGGGGGCTCCGCATGCAAACCTAATAGTTGACTGCTGCAGAGTGTACATACAGTCAACTTCGCTAATAACGACTGCGGATATAACGACAATTCGCGAATAACGACAGAATTTCCATGCCTACAAGTGTGTAGAGCAAAGTCCCATCTAACTGTAACACATATAATGAGACTTCGGGTATAACGACACTTCGCGAATACGGACACTTTTCTGATGCCCGGCCGAGTGTCGTTATAAGCGAAGTTGCCTGTATTGGACACACAATATAGCCTCCTTTGAACTGAACACAAACAGTCCTGTTCTCCTCATGTTCTTCCATTGCCGCTTGCCTTCAGCGTACTTGAAACTAATAGAAGACAACAAGACTTGCTCGCCAGCGAAGCAGCCTACAAAGACAACTCCCGAAGGTGAGATCCTGATTTTGGGCGATTGTGTTCCGTGGAAAATTCCGATTTAAAGCCGTGTGTTGTTTCAGAAATGCTGCACACAGTGACTGCCGTCTCATTGTCCTGCTCCTCACTGTCTATAAGTTATGAGTGGCATCATCTCATTGTCCCTCTCCTCACTGTCTGTACATAATTACCGACAGCCTCTCACTGTCTCCCGGCACATCACTCTCTTGTCAATACTCGCCAACCGTGAACCTATTTTGCCCACGAATGGTCCACGATAAGCAAACTGGCTCTTTGTCTGCCACACACGAGCTCCTGGCAAGCTATTTCGGGTAGATGCCGTTCACTCATCAGGTTGCTCAGCATCTTACTGGTCTAAACGTCGTCTCGTTTAGGACGAACTATACACCTCTCGCGACCGCACCACACAACAAAAAGGTCAACTGCTTTGTTGTAGAGAATTCTTTGTTCTTTCTCTGTGGAGACAACTGGACAACTGAAAAGACGGCAGACGGTCGAAACCAATGGGGGCAAAACAGGAAAGTGCGTCTACGGAGGAGACAGAAGACGGTGCAGCTGCATGTACAAAGGAGTAAAAGACACCGCAGCAGCGTGGACCACGGTTGAGCAGCATGTACAAGAGAGTGACACGAACGCAGCCGCTTGTACGACAAACAGACACAAACACACACAGCAGCATGTACGACAAAGAGACACACCCGGCCGCGTGTACAACATAAATAGGGGACATAAATAATTTTCGTTGTCATTATTGTTGTTGTCGTCGTCACTGTTTGAATTTTTTTTGAATTCTTTATTCTCACGATGGCACCATCGCCAATAAGAGATAAGTTTATGAGAAGGTGAGATGCTGTGTGTGGGGCTGTGGGTTATGCAGTTGGAAAGTGATTCACATCACTTTGAATTTTACAAGTATGGGAGAGGGTGATTGTTGGCGTCATTGTTGTTGCTAAATTTGTTGTTTTGTTGTTTCCCCTCCGTAGGTCATCGACAGGAGGTAGCTGCCCTAAGAGCCCAGGTTGTGAGCATGAGCCAGCTAGTTGCAAACGCCGACAAACAGAGACGACAGGCTGTGGACAGCGAACGAGGTAAGCGATACCGTCTTTCCTCACATATAATTATAAGTTGCGCCTTTTTACACTAAAATTCAAGGGCAAAAAGGGGGTTGATGTGATTAGTGCGAAGGGATTCGGGAAGGGCATTAAAGCGGTCAGCACCAAGGAATTATAGTGAGAGAAACACAGTAATCATTGCAACAGCCACTACTATGTTTCTTAGGTGAATTTTGCAAACTTCGATATCCATACTTGATGAATAGAGGGGGGGGGGGGGGTATTCCGTTTTAAGTATATAGATGAGCTATGAATGTCAAGCAAAGCAGTAGCCTTGAAGGAAGGGATGCCGAGCAAGAGAGGAGCGAGTTGTAACCGGCCTCCGTTCTGTCCAGAGCCAGTTTAAGGGCACAAGCTGCACTGCGGAGGAGCATATCACTGGGAAGGGCATTCCAAAGGTTACCCCCCACAAATGTCTATGGCTGGCGACCAGAAGGTCCAGGAAGGAAAGGCACTTGCAGCAGCATCTGTTCCTGTCCTCGAGTAATTCGGCGATCACCCCGGGATGGGTTTCCTGTACTAGCCGTCAACTGAAAGTAGGTACAGAAAAGAGGACTTGCAAGATCATGTAGGCAACGGAAAACAGAACATTGTAGTGAAAAATGTGAGTTAGGGATCGAATAGATAAGCTCATGAGGACGGCTGGACAGTCGGAAAATTGCACGAATGCCGGATTTGCTGGATTTGATTAAACGACTCTGCAGCTGCTGTGTCAGCAACGGGAAGAATGCATTGGTTGCGTACGTTAGTCATGCTTGCACAATGCCAATGTACCAAAGTCTGCGGACTCTTATGGGTCTAGATCGCCCATGGCACCATAGATGGCTGATGGCGACTGACACCTTCCGCACAACACTTGAAACATGTGGCTGCCAGGACAGCTGATCGTCAATGGTTACGGCAAAGGTATTCGGCAGTGGAGGTAACAGTTAAGATTTGATAATTACATTTCCCGACTGGTATATTGCCAGTGAATCCCCCGAGGTCGAATCACCATGACTTGGGTTGCCGGTATTCAGCAGAAGCCCAATTTCGGAGAGCCAGTCAGACAGACGTGTCACAGCCGTAGTCGAAGTCCTGCAAACAGTGTCCAGATCTGAATCAGAAAATCTAGCATGATGTCGTCCGTGAACTCCTGATGGATAACAATGCGAGGTATGACGTCGGAGATGTCACTCGTGTATAGCACAAAGAGAAGCGGCCCAAGAACACTGCCTTGGGGCACACCTCTTGAGCACGGGACCGTATCAGAGAGAGCCTCACACACCTTGACACACTGCGAACGACCAGACAGATAGCTAGCCAGCCATGACAATGCCTTGCCATTGACTCGCAGGGTGATCAGTTCATCAATCAGACAAATGCGCCTCCTCATTTAAAGACAGACGGAAGTGCTGCATGACACTAGGATGACCATGTGACCAGGACTACATGTACTGTGTGTAATGTATAGAATTGTCTAGTGGCTGCCCGTGACTCGCTAGTGGCTCGCTAGTGGGTCGTTGTGACTTGCTAGCGGCTCGCCGTGACTTGCTAGTGGCTCGCCGTGACCCGCTAGTGGCTCGCCGACGCTGAGCTCTTGCTAATGGTGATCTTCAATGCCAGCGATATCCTAACGTGGTATACGCCTGCCGGGCTTGTTCTATTTGTTGTTGCTTACAGTATGCCAGCAGACTCTGGATGACCTGCGGCGAATCGTCACTAAAGACTGACCGGGTCTCGGCGACCTTCCTTTGTGGGCCAACCCAATCCCCTCACACTTCACTGTGTGTTCCCCACTGCCGACGTTCCCCAATACCCAAGTCGGTATTTTTTTAGTATAAATTATAAGTTTATTATGCCTATGTGATGTGCAAGTTTATACTGGTAAAGGCAAACTATTTTTCTTGCGAACAAATTACCTCAATTTTGCAAATATATCCCTATCTATATTGTGTCCCTATCTATATCAATGTAACACAAAATGAATATTTTTTATTTTTTTTACGATGCACATATTATCGAAATTTGAAAATATATTTTGGAAATTTGCGTGTCGAAATTCTGAATAATTATACCAAGAAATTGAAGTGTTCTTTAGTCGGAGTGTGGTTTCATGGAGAAAGAATGTATAATTATATTATTATACTCTACAACTGTTACCGTTGGATTCTGAGATGCACGCGTTTTGATATCTGTGGATAATAGAACTGGAGACATTGGAGCCGCATGCGTGTGTGTGTGTAGGGGGGGGGGGGGGGCGTGCGTGTGGGCATGTGTTTTTTTTCTTTTTTTCTACGAAATCCAC